AGGAAAACTGATAACACTCACTTTTCCAGACAAGAGTTTTGAGTTACAAACAATAAAAATGTTGTTTATTCCACAGGTGAAAACACAATGTTCTCTCGTTTACAAACAAGTACACAAGTTGTTTATTTCAGACAAGAATTGTTTTTTTAAGTGACAATCCCACCAAAGTTATCTATTTCCTGACCACGAGTTGTGAGTTATATATTACTAGTAAGAACTGGACAAGAGGTTGATATGTAGAGATCACAAAGACGCAGTTTAAATACGGGTTATAAAGTTGAGTATTGGCTCAAGTACATACATAGGAACTTACACTTGGGGTTATATATATATGGCCGTCACACTCTTAACTCTCACACTTCACAAACACTTCAAAAAAGGTAACTGCTGCTCCAACGAAGGGCGAATCGACGTCCTCCCCCTCAAAAAATTCTAATAACTTTTGACGTATGATCATAAAAGTTACCAAAACAAAACAGTCGTATAATAATGCCCCTTGTTTTTTTTTCCCCCTTTGCACTTACAGTACGGCAAAAAAACACTCACAAAAGTCCATCACAACAGAAACACGGAGAGAGGCGAGGCGGCGGGGCTTACTGGGTGGGATGGGGTGCGGTGGGGTGGGGTGGGGTGGGGTGGGGGTGGGGTGGGGACGACCTCATGTGATGGTATAAAGTTATAAACCGCAGGGACACAAACAACAACAACAACGGTGGTGGTGGTTGTTGTGGTGGTTGTGGTGGTGGTTGAAGTAGTAGTAGTGGGTTTTAGTTATTGGGTTGTAGAGAGGTTAAATTACATTATATAACAAGAAAATTTCAAGGAAGGAGAAAGAGAGGAGGAGGGGAGGGGTGTTGTCCTTAACTGCTCATGGATATATTGGTCCTCAGTTAGACACAGACACACACATTATCTTGATTGGGTCGTACTTGAGGGTCGTACTATGTGATCTTACTTGAAGGTCTTGCTTGAGGCTGCACTTGGGGTGGGGGGTCTTGCAGGATCTTACTTGAAGGTCTTGCTTGGAGGTCGTACTTGGGGTGGGGGTCTTAATCGCAGGATCTTACTTGAAGGTCTTGCTTGAGGTCACGAGGTCGTACTGCAGGAACTTACTTGAGTCTTGCTTGGTCGTCTTAGGTGGGGGTCTACTGCAGGATCTTACTTGAAGGTCTTGCTTGAGGGTCGGGGGGGGGGGTCTTAATGCAGGATTGAAGGTCTTAGCAGGGTCGACAGGGTGGGGGTCTTACTGCAGGAACTTACTTGAAGGTCTTGCTTGAGGTCGCACTTTAGGGTGGGGTCTTAAGGATGAAGGTCTTGCTTAGGGCCTCTTTGCTTGAGGATCTTACTTGAAGTAGGGGTGCAGGGTGAGGGGTCTTTACTGCTTACTTGAGAGGGTCTTGGGGGGTCTTAAGAGTGAGGAATGTCTTACTTGAGGTCTTTAGAATGGGATCTTACTTGAAGCTGAGGCGTACTTGGGTGGTGTGTCTTAATATGATCAACTTGAAGGTCTTGCTTGAGGGTCGTACTTGGGGTGGGGGGTCTTACTGCAGGATCTTACTTGAAGGTCTTGCTTGAGGGTCGTACTTGGGGTGTCTTACTGCAGGAACTTACTTGAAGGTCTTGCTTGAGGGTCGTACTTGGGGTGTCTTACTGCAGGAACTTACTTGAAGGTCTTGCTTGAGGGTCGTACTTGAGGGTCGTACTTGCCGCACCAGACATACAATAGAGCCTTAGAGTGAACTATCATCCCAAGTGGTGGTCCTCTCGAGAGGTTTAATCAATGTCTAAGTTTGTCCCAGAGTTGAGAAAGTTGTCTAACACTTATGTCACCTCCGGCACACTACTCCTCAACACAAAGTCAGCCAGGGAGTTTCCGCCTCGAGCAACACCTCACGTGCCTCAAGAAAAGTCCGACCCCCAAAAAAACTTGACAACAAAACAATTATGTCAAGTTGTGGGGGTTTGTGTCGCCTTACAAAACCAACTTTACAAATGTTAAAAAGTGCCGTAGTTTTTTTTTTTTTTTTTTTTACAATTTGTGCTTTTGTTCTGTCGTCCGAACAGAATAAGGTTTTTATTTACATTAAAATTACCAATGTCTTTGTTTGTTTTATCAGCCAAGTGACTGACAATAGTTCGTTATACCGTATCGCTGAGTAAACACCTCACTGAACAATCTCCAGAAAGTGTTCACCAAGACAACAAGCGAGAGTGTGGCACCAACACGGCACTGACACAAACACACGTCACCGCATCACTTAAAAACACCAACACAATTCACAAACATTCTGACGCCTCTCCCGAGTGCCTCCAAGCACAACACAAACACTCGAGGAAGAGGAAGAGGTGGAGAAAGAGGAGGAGAAGTTTACCAGAGATTTAAAGCAAGTCGCAATGTCTCAACACTTCAGGTCTCATCCCAGTAGCAGCAGTGTTCACTGCACCGCGCTCCCATGTGAGCGGACTCACTCTCTCTCTCTCTCTGTCTGTCTCTCTCTCACCCTCTCTGGGAACAGCCCGGCCTGGAATGGGCCACCGTCAGCCGGACCAGGGACTTTGTAAGGCGAGATACCGCTCTTCCAGGCCACTGCTGGAAACCCGTGGCCCGGGGAAGAGTTGCGGGCGGTCGCTAGACACTGGAAAGCGCTGGAACGCAACGAGGAAACCACCACCACCACCGGGTCAGCGAGGCGAGCGTCCCACCAGGAGTATTAAACCATCTTTTTTCTCACCCCTGACACCAGTCATTTGTATCGACTATGGTTTATACCCCGCCTTTACACCGCCTCTCCTGCTCTCCAGTTGGGTTATATTTTTGGCGCCTCAGTTGCCAGTGGTCGCCAGCAGCAGAAATAATCGATGGTAGGCACCGTTATTACCATAAATACCTCCACCACACTCCTGCTTTATCTCTTATCATGATATTATATGTAAGAGTCATATTAATTAATGAGCCAACAGATACATTACCTTCACTGCCCTCAATAATCAACTTAACTGTTAAAATAATGTGGAATTTATTCTATGATTCAACGAGACAGATTTTTCTCACTGTACCCCCGGCCCTATCACAAGGCCATCTCACTGTACCCCGGCCCTATCACAAGGCCATCTCACTGTACCCCGGCCCTATCACGTCACGGCCATCATTCACGTATCACGTCACATCTCCTGTACCCCGGCCCTATCGTACATCTCACTGTACCCCCCCCACGTCACTAACGGCCATCTCACTGTACCCTATCACGGCCCTCACTGCATGGCCACATCTCACTGTATCCTCGGCCATCACGTCTCTATCACGTCATCACATCTCAGGCCATCTCACTGTACATCATCTCTCACTGTCCCCACACGTCAAGGCCATCTCACTGTACCCCAGCCCTATCACAAGCCATCTCACTGTACCCCGGCCTATCACGTCAAGGCCATCCCACTGTACCCAGGCCCTATCACGTCACGGCCATCTCACTGTACTATCACAAGGCCATCTCACTGTACCCCGTCACGGCCATCTCATCCACCTATCCACAAGGCCATCTCACTGTACCCCGCCCTATCACGTCACACCATCTCACTGTACCCAGGCCTCATCACATCACGGCCATCTCACTGTACCCCGGTATCACGTCACGGCCATCTCATGTACGGCCCCTATCACGTCACGGCCATCTCACTGTACCCAGCCCTATCACGTCAAGGCCATCTCATTACCCCGGCCCTATCACGTCACGGCCATCTCACTGTACCCCCCCCATCACGTCACGGCCATCTCACTGTACCCCGCCCTATCACGTCAAGGCCATCTCACTGTACCCCGGCCCTATCACGTCACCGCCATCTCACCACCCCGCCCATCACGTCACGACCATCTCACTGTACCCCAGCCATCTCCTGTACTCTCACTGCACCCCCGGCCTTCTCACTGTACCCCGGCCCTATCACTGTACCCCGGCCCTATCACTGTACCCCGGCCATCTCCCTGTACCCCGGCCATCTCACTGTACCCCCGGCCCTAACACACACCGAGACAGTACATGCTGTATCAATAAGATAACAAGCAGGTGTTGTAACGCATTATAACTAAGATAACATAATCCTATAGAGTATTTTACCACCACTACGATATAAAGACCATCATCAAAGAAAACGGTTGTAGTCATGATCACCTTAAGGGGAGACTTCGACGGGTGACTAAAGAAAAGTTAACCTTATGACCGGCCACCACACCTAACAGCGGAGAATTTGTTCTAGTTTCCCCTCTCCCCTTGTACCACTCAGCCTTGATAATAAGAAACTTTTGGCGGCTCTTATAGACGGTGTGTCAATGTCTGTATGACTATTATGTAAAAAAAATATATATTATAATTGTTTAATAACTTAGATGAATTACCTCTCTATCTAGTATAATTATGTAGATTTTGTAATTTACGTTACTGACTTGTTTTGAATATTGAAAAAAAATTGGTGAAATTAATTAATATAGGTAAAGTAATACAGTAGAGTAGAATACATAAGTAATGGTGTTCAGGTTTGGTGAAGCATTTAATGACCTTGACTTCAGCTTCGCAACTTGTCGAGGAGTTGGCTTCAGCTTCAACGTCGTGCTTATATAAATGGTTGGCTTCAGTTAACTTAGCCTAACTTAAACCCAGCCCAGACAAACCTAACTTAAACTAACATAACCTAACCAACCAATCCTAACTTAACCTAATCAAACCAAAACTAACGTAAACTAACCTAATCTAACGAGAGCGAGAGAGTGAATAAGATACTTCAGTCACTCCAGAAAACATTAGAGAAAACGAACCCCAAAAACCCAACACAGAAAACGTACGAGGGTAAACTATAGAAAAAATTCATGCAAGTCCACCAACACCAAACTAATGTTCACATCAGCAAATTATTTCCTAAAACAACAAACGATCAGAGGAAACTTACGAAAGAATTAACGATCAAAAGAGACATAGTGGATACATTACCAAATATTACCGACATATTTAATTGACTGTTGATACACTTACCTCATTATCTGGAGTTTTTGAGTCTGCCTTCACTTCTGTTCTGCTGGAAGTTCCAT